GAGAAGGCTGTTGGGCCGCATCCGGCCCCTGGGCCTTAGGTTGCCTACCCCTGGACTAAATGACCCCTCCATTGTTCCATATGGGGATTGAACCTGCAATTTTGTATGTAATTATCAGCACCATATTCTTAACCACATGGTATGCGATTGTCTAATAGCTGATATGGTGCGGTCTTGCACATTTGTGCTACATGGGTGTCGGACGCTGCTGTTGATGCATGAGCAAACAGCGCATTCTAAGCCTCGCCCTGTTCTAATGGGAGGCACACAATACATTTGGCACCGGCAAACTGCATACTCGAAATATTCACGTGTCTGGGCCCCACCAAGGGTGCAGTTTGTCTGCAATCAGGTTGATTGATTGCTTTAGTAATAAATCAAGAGGTGATGGAAGTGTGACTTGGTTAATATTTATGACTTGTTGTTTGGCATATTCCTTCCATCTTGAAGTGGGAAGCTGGGAGAGGTGCTGCCTGGAAACAGAATGCAACTTCACCGAAGCGTTTAGGGTAGTTTTTAATGTTTGATGTTTTTAATATTCTGTTAGGAGCTGCCCAGAGTGGCTCAAATTATTTGAATGAAGTTGCAGAGTCCACACAGGAGCAGGGGCAAGGCACAGCCAGGCCAGGAGATATACAGGGAAGTTGAAAAACAGCAACTTATCCCCCTGCCAAGAACGAGTCTTCGCTCCTTGTCTGCCAGCATCAAAAACATGTCAAGAGTGCCAGGTTAGGGAGTTTGCTATAGAATATTCAACCATGGGCTGTAAATTGGCAGTGAGGTAAAGAACTTGGTTAGTTATATCATACGTATATCCTCATCTCTCTTTAGAAAGCTCACGTATAAGTGGCTTACACGAATCTACTAATGAAAGCTTTCTATGACTCTACTCCACCCTACTTTTGCTCATTCAGCTTTGCCATGCCCTGCTATTAGCAACAGTCTGCTATTAACCTCAGACATTTGTACATCTGGTAATCATTCCCAGAACATCTGCAATCCACGGCCTTCTTTCTTCTCCTTGAAATTCCTCATCAGAATCTAAATTTTCCATTGGTGTAAGTTTTCATCCCCCAGCTGAATTAATGTCAATGAAATATACTCGGAGTCGAGTGTGAATTTCATGCTCTTTATTCAGCTCGTAGTAGCAATGAATGAAACTTTCCCCAAAACGTCTAGCTATATATACATTATTTACACAATGGGCCCCGCGTGATTGGCTAATTCCGGGCTGCTCCTGTAGGCTAATCAGGTTGCTGATTCACTTCATCCAGGAGCCTGATTGGCTGCTCCTGCAGGCCAATGAGGTCGCTGATTCACTTCCACCTGGAGCTGGATTGGGTGGCTCCTGCAGACCAATGAGACTGCTGCATTCTGGATCCTATTGCTCTAGGATTCAGCTCAGTACATAACAGTCAAGGTCAGGGATGGGGAGCTTGATGGACTCCAACTACCATCAAACCCAGCCAGCATGGCCAGGGATGATGGGATTTGTAGTCCAACCATGTTTGGAGAGGCACAGATTCCCTAACCCTGACATCGGCTGCATACAGATGTCCGGCAGTCTCCCCATTGACATGATGCAGGACCATAAACACACATGTTGGAATTCTTTGCCTGTTGACACCAGGCAAGCAACTTGGCTATGTACTTTTGGGCAGCTGGGTCTCCACCTGCCGCATATCTGATAACACGTTTTCAGATTTGGCCTGCATTGCAAGAACATGCATGCCACATATTTTTTTTCATGTTTCAATTCTGCCAGTAAAGTTTCTTACAGTAAAGTTTCTTAAAGTTTCCTCTTTGGAGTAGACACACACAAAATATTCTGCAATCTCTTTGGCCTTAAATGGATAAGCTGTTTCTTATCTCCCTCAATTGTTTGCAAAGCTTCTATTTTATTGCGACATTTGGAGCATCCACATTGTGCAGAGATCAGATTTCTGCTTAAAAGCAGAGTCACAGAAATAGAAGCAATTTTTTTTTGTCTTCATGATGATTCAAAGCATCACTGAAATATTTCCATTAGACAACAGCAAACTCAAGTCAGATGCACAGATGTGCATGCAAGATGTCAAACGGCATGTGCTCGTTCATGTATATGCAAATAGACGATGGCATGCAAATAAGATTAATTCTTTACTACTGTTGCATGTGCAACTAGCTCAAGGCAAGAGTGGGACTGAACTTACACACAAAGGCATGGTGCTGTCATTTAATGTGAGGTCTCAGTCAATGGTGAGTCAAGTTCACTGCAGACAGAGCTCCACAGTCTTTGTTATTTATTACTACTTGTTGTTGTTGTTGTTTAGTCGTTTAGTCATGTCCGACTCTTCGTGACCCCATGGACCAGAGCATGCCAGGCACTCCTGTCTTCCACTGCCTCCCGCAGTTTGGTCAAACTCATGCTGGTAGCTTCGAGAACACTATCCAACCATCTCGTCCTCTGTCGTCCCCTTCTCCTTGTGCCCTCCATCTTTCCCAACATCAGGGTCTTTTCCAGGGAGTCTTCGCTTCTCATGAGGTGGCCAAAGTATTGGAGCCTTTGCTTCAGGATCTGTCCTTCCAGTGAGCACTCAGGGCTGATTTCCGTCAGAATGGATAGGTTTGATCTTCTTGTAGTCCATGGGACTCTCAAGAGCCTCCTCCAGCACCAGAATTCAAAAGCATCAATTCTTCAGCGATCAGCCTTCTTTATGGTCCAGCTCTCACTTCCATACATCACTACTGGGATGTATTACTACTACCATTTTATTACTACTACCATTTATTAAATTTGTCTCCAGCCCTTAATCTGAAGATCACAGGGCAGAGCTCCACAGTCTTTGTTACTTATTATAATTACTATTTATTAAATTTTGTCTTCTGCCCTTCTTCCGAAAATCATAGGGCAGTTCGCAACATAAAAATACGAAACGAGAACACAAAAATACACTAGAAAACAAAAACAAACCAACACCCACCTCCGAAACACATTTAAAAGGCCATAGAACGTTAATCAGCCCAAGGCCTGTTTTTGCCTGGTACCTAGAGATGTATAATGAAGGTGCCAAGCTAGCCTCCCTGGGGAGAGCATTCCACAAATGGGGAGCCACCACAAAAAAGGCCCTGTTCTTGTGCTGCCACTCTCCTGACCTCTCGTGCTTGTTTTCCTGCCCTGAGCTCTAGAATATGGCAGGGAGCCTTGCAGGCACCACAAAGTGGGAAAGGGCACTCAGGGGCAATCGTTTCGACGGCCGGAACCATTCTCATGTTCCAGAGGTCGGCCAAGGCTTTGAAAGGAGCACCAGTCATATCAGCCAGAAAATCCCCCCGAGCCATTTGGAAACCCATTGGATCTCTCAGCCTTGGAAGAGCAGACCACCCTCTCTGCGGAGGGGAAAGGGTGCTGAAAGCCGAAATCTCAGTAGGAAGAGATCTGACTCTGATAAAAGACTGGTGTCTCCATTCCTCACTTTCTGATCACCCTATTCGTGCCTAGTTGAGAAAAGAATGTAGTAAGGTTAAGGCCTACTGGGAAATGATATATAATGAATTGAAAAGGATGTTCAAAATAATCTTTGTAAAAAACAACAACTACCTGAATTGTATAGAAATTTATTTATGATTGCTACTACAGCAGCAAGAATGCTACTTGCTCCAAAATGGAAAGAGGCCGAAGTCCCAACAAAGGAGGAATGGATACAAACTTATGGAATACTGTACGCAGAAATGGCGAACCTTACTGGAAGAATAAGAAATCAAGATAACAAACTTTTTATAAATGAATGGAAATGGTTTATTGAATATTTACAGATAAATTGCAAACAGATAAAAACATTGGTAGGGTTATTGTAATAACCTGCAGTTTCATAAGAATATATATGTATATATTGGGAATTTTATTTACAACATAACATAACTCCCCCATCCCCCCATACAGAAATCCGCCCTCATTAAATGTGAACATAACATACAATAAGCATAACATACAACAATAGTTAAGTAAGTTATATATTTAAAGTAGATAATTAAATGAGCAAATTAAATGAATTTGGATATGCAGAAGATATTAAAAAATGAATTTAAGGAACCGCAGAAAGGGGGGGGGCACAAAGTCAAACTTTGAAATGTTAAAATGATTGTAAAAATAATGAAATGTATACATTTGAAAAGTATAATTAAAAACTTTTAAAAAGAGAGAGAGAAAAAAGGATGTCCAGGGTGTGTCCTGCCACAAACGTTGGGCTGGTGACGTGTTGGTCATCATGGCAGCCACAAAGTCCTGTTCCACCTCTCACTAAGCCCTGTAACCCTTTCAGTTTCCGACACCACCCCTTCCCAGCATGTTCCCTCTGTCAGGAGTTCAGCCTACACTCGAGTAGGACCCTGGCAGAGACACATGCGCGACTGGCATGTTCCCTCCCTCCTGGTCTATCGTTCGGGAGCTTCAAGAGCTTTCTTCAGCCTGAAGACCACAGCTACCGATGCCAACAGACACCAGCACACTTAGGGATCCACAGAGTTTGCGCATCATGCGTGTGACAGACCTCAGCAAGTCAGCATTTTGGCTAATCTACTTTATTTACATAAAAACACACATAGAGCACTGCAACATGGCTCCCTCTCTCTCTAGCATCAGACAGCAAAGAGAGAAAGAACAAAGGACAATAGTCCCACTTCACGGAACACAGTAACACAAACATCCTGTCTCTGTCACTTCCCACTCTTTGGAGTCAAAACATACACCGTCATGTGATAGACAACAATCCCATGACTGCAATCATGGAGCAGGAATTCTAACACCCTCTTCCCCCTCTGACCACTCACTGTCGTCCCACCACCAATCCCCAGACAGGGCAGGAAGGCACCCAGTTGCAGTCCTGTTTTATGCAGTAACTGAACGACAAAGGCGTCAAAGCTGTCCTTCCACCACACGTGATCCTAAATATTTGCTTTCCGTGGCCATTTGCCGTTCCACGTAGCTGCACTGAAAGAGGGCACCTATAGCACACAACCATGGGCCCTTGGGTATTTTATTCTACTGGCATATATGTTGATAACATGGGAGCTTTCTCCAATGATCACATCAACTCTTTAATCTTCTCTTCCAGTTTTTTGGGACGAGCTCCGGTGATTTCAAAAATCTAGGACCGAAATAAAAAAATAAATAAATGAAAGCAATCGAAGCTCCAGGAATTTGGGAGAAGCAAGGGGTCCCACAGGGATTTGCCACCCATTAGGTGATTTGTGACTGGATTTCTTTGGTAGCCCCCTTCCCAGAATGGCTCATTCCAGGGCAGAATCTGGCAGATTAGGGGTAGCCCTGGCCAGAATTCAGAGCACTAAACCATGTTTCTAGGCCACAAATACCTTTTCTCCTTTCATGTAGAACTGGAATGTTGGCATGGCGACGATATTGCAAAGGTCAGCCACATCCTGGGGATGAGAGGTTGAACAATATGCCATATGGTCAAGGAGCTAATTAAAATACGCTAGACATTCTGTAAGTATCTCTAACGAGAATGCCGGAGAAAGCAAAGTATGGTGTTTTATACCATATCTATCAGTGCTGCACCACACATTTCCTAAATTTTGATACTCCATTTGGAAGTATTGCATCTGAGCAGATTGCCTAAACGAAACAGGAACTCTTCTTGCTAAACATTCGAATTGTTCAGATACCATTTGATGCCATTTGGTTCCCCCGGCTGGTACTCTTCCCAGCATCCTTTTCTCTCAACTCTCACCCTCATCCACTGTTATTATATGCGCTGCACTTTACAAAATACAGTGGTACCTCGGTTTACGAACATAATCTGTTCCGGAAGTCTGTTCTTAAACCAAAGTGTTCTTAAACCAAGGTGTGCTTTCTCATAGAAAGTAATGGAAAATGGATTAATCCGTTCCAGACGATGACAAACAACCCCTAAAACAGCAATTTAACATGAATTTTACTATCTAACGAGACCATTAATCCATAAAATGAAGGCAATAATCAATGTACTGTACTATAAAATAAATAAGACAGTATTGTAGATGATTAAAATTATAATTATTATTATTTTCTTATATGCACTGATGATAGTCATTGTTTGGATGGGGGGCTTTTATCAATTTCTGCAGTCACACAATCAACTAGTAGCTGAACTGGGTTCCACACAGTCACAAAAACAAGACACAAAAATGAAGTCACAAGCCACAGTCCACAAAAACGAGCCACAGTCACAAGTCAGTCCATAAAATGAAGAACAAGTCACTGTCAAAAAAAATGAAAAAAGCCACACAAACAAAAACGCAAAAAAATAGCAAAGGCAAAAGCTCCAAATATCACCTCTGTGTTGTGTGAATGCTCGGGACTCAACAGCTGACAGACTCAACTGGAAGCCTCTGATTAGCGGGAAACTCAATTTACAAATGGAACACACTCAACAGGAAGCGGAACATGTTCTTATTCCAAGGCAAAGTTCACAAACCAAAACACCTACTTCCGGGTTTGCAGCGTTCTTAATCCAAGTTGTTCATAAACTAAGCTGTTCTTAAACCAAGGCACCACTGTATAAGAGAGAGAGAAACAAATTCCTGCCCCAGAGAGCTTACAGTCTAAGGGCCAAATCAGACTTGACATGATCTATGAATGCACACTTTTTTGGGGGGGGGGATCATGTGAACAGCTGCTGAAAGCCTGCACATCGGTGGAAATAGGCAGTTTGGAATCTTTTTGAGTCTGAGATACAATGGTAGGCTATATAGATGGACAATTGTAACTTTATTCCTGCTCAGAGATTTCAAAACTGCATTTATGCTTCTCCATACATGCTTGGGGAAAAAAGAGAGAGCTAAATAATTAAGGTTGGCATTTCATTCCCCAGTCTTATTTGTTTAATTTTCCTGCCTTCTGCCTTTTACAGCTAAGTTTCTAAGTGTACGTGGTCTAATGATAACTAGGGGTATAAAGCTGTCATCCATCAGTTAAAAAAAAAAGTCACATAGTTGTTGTGTTGGGGGTTTTAATTATGAAAATGATTACATACCCCCTGCCAGAGGGGAGCCTTTATTGCAGAAAAAGGTTACCCACCCCTGTTTTAAAGTCTCCTGTTGAAAACAATACTGTACCAGACTAAATAAACCCCTGGCCTGATCTAGAAAGTCTTGCTTTGTAGTTACACTCTAACAGAAATTCTCGACGTCATCTGGTTTTAGTAGCTTACCTCTGCCAAGTCCACATCAACAATGCAGAATAGCACATTTGCATACCGAACAGCCAACTCCTACAGAACAAAATTAAACAAATCTATTAGTTAGCAGGCACAGAGGAATATTCTGGCCTGAAAACACCACTACATTTTTTTTAGCTCAAAAGCCCTTCAGTTTGAGAGATAATTCCACATTGATATCATATATATATGTAAGGCACCTCCTATATCTGCTGTATAACAACAACAACAACAACAACAACAATAATAATAATAATTTATTATTTATACCCCGCCCATCTGGCTGGGCTTCCCCAGCCACTCTGGGCGGCTTCCAAAAAAATATTAAAATACTATAATACAACAAACATTAAAAGCTTCCCTAAGCAGGGCTGCCTTCAGATGTCTTCTAAAAGTCTGGTAGTTGTTGTTCTCTTTGACATCTGGTGGGAGGACGTTCCACAGGGAAGGCACCACTACCGAGAAGGCCCTCTGCCTGGTTCCCTGTAACTTGGCTTCTCGCAGTGAGGGAACCGCCAGAAGGCCAGAAGGCCCTCGTATAAAATTGTACCACCTATATTTGAGAGAGAAACTGAAGAGTTGAGGAAGTATTAGGGTGAACAGCTTCAGGCATACATGGAAGAAGGGGACTATCTAGGCCAGAGTTGGGGAACGCGACATGTTTTATAGGAGAGATCCCTAATTCTATCTGACGGAGGTGGAGATGCAACAAGACTTGCTTGCTCTTGCATCTTGAGAGAAGAGAGGTCCAAAATACGTCTGCTCTTGAGAGGAAGGCATGAAGAAGGAAGGGAAGTAGGGAACGAGTAACCCTAAGAGTATCAGGCTAACACCGAAGGGATATCAGCACAGATCAGAACAAGAAGGGCAGTCTAGGAAGCTGGGACAATCCTCTCTTTCCCCATTGCTGTGCAAACGCATTAGGCTACAGCACAAACTGACACCTCCAAGAACCTCACATCTGATGTCAGATGTGACACCAGGAGCTTGGAGCTCAGTATGGTCAACAGGCTGATTACACTCCGCTCTATCTCAATGCCATCTGAATCAACTGAGGCTGGGAAGAGGCTGGATCTTTGTGACATCAGGTGGAGGACAGGTATGGGACAACTGAGAGCTTAAGGTTCCTTGGCAAGGTGGGCTTTCTGATTAGCGGTGACAGAGAGCCCCCCTGGAATGGCCACACAAATAATCCTAGGGCAGTTGAGGGAGTTTGCCTTCTCCATTTGGAGGAAGTGGTTTGGATTCAATCCAAACTGCTTCCCCTGAGCAAAGCTGCCTTGAAGGCACACTGCCTACCAAATCCGGTTTCCCACCTCTGATCTCCGCCCGTTTCAACCTGGCTAAAGGCCTCAGTTTGGCACTTAAACGGCCTTAGTCCCCCTGGTTGAGGACCTGTATCATAAGAGAACCTAGGGAAGTGCACACTCAGCTGCGCTTGAGACCATCGGCCATGGTATCCTTCTGAAGAGGCTCTGCAGGTGGAGACTCAGGCACAGTGGTTGACTCCTACCCGCAGGACTGCTTGCAGAAAATGGCACTGAGGGACTTCTGCTCAGCTTCCTGGCAGCTGTGCTATGGGGTCCCCACATGGTTCCCTCTTGTCTGCTATGCTGGTTGGCATCTACATCATCATCATCAAACCTTTTATTGGCATCACATACAACATTCAAAACAAATCAGTACAGAATTACCACTTCCCCAGTGGCACAAAACATTTGCTAAAAGAAAGGAGGCAGAGCAGTCTATCGTCACATCTCTAGGTCTCCAGGGAGATCATACATCTGCAGTGTATTTCAACGACAAAAAACCAAATAGAGATATTTTGCCACTAACTTGGTGAGCTCTTGATCATTCCCCAGTAATAGAAAATGTATGACCTCTGACTCTGGTTTCCATTTGGGGATACAGAGTTGATATTGAAATTGCTGGCGGAGATCAGCATATAGTTTACAACTGAGAACCATATGTGTAAGGGTTTCCACCAGGTGGTCTTCACATGGGCAAGTTCTTTCTCCTTCCACCCTGCCTGAGAACCTTCCCCAAAGGAGGTTTGATGGATTTGAACTAAACCTGGCCAGCGAAAATGCCCTTCTTTCTTGCAGATTAAGCAGAAATTCAAGGTAATTATGGTTAGTTTCATGCGCCCAAGAAAGTTGGCATCTACATGAAGCCCCTAGGTTGAGTCATCTGAGAGTTTGGGGCTCAGTATTGTCGACAGACTGATAACTTTCTGCTCTGTCTCTACATCATCTGAACCAGGTATGGCTGGACAGATTCTGGACCTTTGTCTGGAGGTGGTGAGGTGTCAAAACAAGCTGATTCCTGAGAAGATGGAGATGCTGTTGGTGGACCAGAGTTCATATGTGGGAATTGGGCAATGGCCTTTTTTTGGATAGAGTTGCGCTCATCCTGAAGAGGCAAGTTAATTGTCTGGGGACACTCCTTGATCCAATGCAATCATTTGAAGCCCAAGTGACTCAATGTGCCTAATTAACTAACCAGAAATTGATTTTGAAACGAGCCAGGTCTTCTGCCTCTGTAAATCTCAGTGGTCTCCTTTTCTCACAGGGCCATCCACTCAATAGACACCATCCAGAAAATTATTCCCAACTAAGTCTAGTTGGAAAATGGTACCCTCCAGAAGGATACCATGGCTGGAGGTATCTTGGCTGATGGTATCAAGAGCTGCTGAGTGGAATGGGACACAGCTCATTCTTAATCATGTTTACTTGGAAGGAGTAAGCCACATTGATTTCAAATGAACTTCTTAATGACAACACTTGCTTTGGAATTCATTTTTTTGGAATGCCACAAGACTCTTCATGGCTTCCATTGGAAAGGCCCTTGGGTTTTATGGTTGGTGACATGAATCAGATTCAGCCCAATCCTAGCTATATTTACTTGATGGCAAGCCACACTGACTTCAACAAGGCTTAAGTCACGAGTGACTAACTTTGACTGGACTGCATCTGGGGAGCCTTTCGGGCGAATAGAACAAAGAATCTTGTGACAGCTTTACAGGAAAGAGTTTCATTTTGGCATGAGCTTTCCGGTGTATGTGAGTTCCTCAGAATACAACTTGAAAACCTCCGCTCTCAAACGAAGCCCTGTGATTACCACTGCAGCCTTCACCTACATCTTCTGAACCTCCTTCAAATCTATACATCTACTAAAGGTGCCGAAGCATTGTCCTCTTCGTCACCTGGCCACCCAAAGCCCTAGTCCACATTTCCCAGTTGTACACGACGGACAGCCTTGGCAGTAGAGGGTTTCTGAACTGAATGCAAAGGTTCCATTTTGAGCAAGCAGAACAAAGCAAAGAAGCAAAGTAGGTCAATGCAAGGCAAGAGTTCAGGGTTCAAGAGCACCCTAGAGAGCTCATAAGTTGAGCCCAGGCTGGAGACTCAATAACAACTCCCATTCACCCCTGACCACTGACCATGGTGGCAAGGACTGATGGAAGTAGGAGCCCAGGAACATTAGAAGAGCTTTCAGGTTTCCTTTGCCCAGGAAGTAGTCCCACATATCTGGAATATGTCTTGCATTACCACCTCTTTTAATCTACATCACAGAAGTCCTTTTATCCTATGCATCTGGTGACAACTTCATATACTGTGAAGTTATGAGGTCTGAAACAGATGAATTCTTGTCGTTCACATTTTTTAAAAAAAATAATTTTTATTGAATGATTTTATGTTACAAAAAACAATACAGCCATACTACCACTAAATATAATTAAGAAATAAAAATCACATACATCAATATTTAGTTTGTTATTTGTTATTTACCGTCTTATTTCCTCCCAAACATTGCATACAACAACACACATATGTGCAGACACCCACACAAGCACACCCGCACACAAAATGATAATAATGAAAGTAAATATTTTTTCCCCTTTTATCTTCCAAAATCTTTTCTTCAACTTTGACTTCCTGTCAAGTCCCTTTGCATATATTTTATCTTACATTTGAATGTACACAAAACAATAAACCTTTCTATATAATTTTTCTAATACATTCTGAAAACATAATAAATCCTTAATTGTTGTCCACCTCCTTTTAGTTCCTTTATCACTCGAATGCTAGCATGGAGTCAAAACTATTATTGTATTTTTGAACATATCTTCTATAACCATCCCATTTTTCCGCAAATTTTTGCTTTGAGTTTCCTCTGAGTTTACTAGTCAGTTGAGCCGTCTCCACCAATTCCTGTAATTTGATTTGGCAATCTGTTATTTTTGTCATTCACATTTTTTTTTATGGAAACAGATTTTAATTCAAACCCTTCATTATTAGTGTTTGCTTGATTAAGAGCATTGCCAAGCAACAAATGAGAATGGATGGGATGGCACTTACAGGGAGACAGACACTTGAGCCAAACAGTGAGCATGAGTGAAAACAAGAGGCAGACAGTTCGTAATTCTTCACATGGAGGGGACAGGCATCATTTGTAGGTTATTCTATAATGAAATTCTCTTTCCCGAGTGCAGCTGACATTCCACCACCACATGACCTTGTGAGTGGAAGTTGACTAAGATGGTTTTGATCCCTCTCTCTCACTGGCTCAGGGGCAAAGTGATAAGTTCTGGAATATCTCTTTGTGCCAGAATCTTGCAAAAGAGATCAGGGCTCCCGTGACTTTTAATAGTGCAGAAGGTACTGAAACAAAAAACAAATGGCAGAATTCAACTACGCTGTTGCAGGCGACACAACTCCTTCCCTCTCATCCCTTTGTGTGCCCCTCGTGCCCCCTAAATTTGCTCTGGTGGGTTGGGGGAAACATCAGAACATGATGTTCCCACAACATGGATGTAAGGGATCCTATATTGTAAGGGGTGGGCGGGTGAGGGAAGCAAAATATCTCGACACAAAGTTATCGCTTTAAAGTGGCAGCTCTATGTCACAGATAACATGTGCTTGCACCCCCAGTCTTTACGCTAGACTTGTATTGTTGGTGTTTACATGCCCACCAACATTTCTGGGATGGAAATAGAGATGTCCGACTGTATTATTATTATTATTATTATTATTATTATTATTATTATTATTTGCCCATCTGGTTGGCTTGTCTCAGCCACTCTGGGCAGCTTCCAGCACATATAAAAACATAATAAGACGTCAAACAGAAACTTCCTGATACAGGGCTGCCTTCAGATGTCTTCTAAAAGTTGTGTTCTTTATCTCCTTGACATCTGAGGGGAGGGCATTCCACAAGGAGGGTGCCACTACCAAGAAGGCCCTCTGCCTGGTTCCCTGTAGCTTCACTTCCAGCAGTGAGTTATCCACTTTCTCATATGTTTATACCGAGCCCATCTGATTGGGTTGCCCCAGCCACTCTGGGTGGCTTCCAACATATATAAAAACATAATAAAACATTAAGCATTAAAAAAACCTCCACCTATACAGGGCTGCGTTGAGATGGCTCGGGGGTCAGATAACTCCATACCCTCCATCATTTCTCCAAAGAAAATCAGGAAATCCTACCATATCCGCCAACATTTCTCCGATGAAAATAGGGACATCTTAAGGAAATGCAGGACATTCTGGGATCAAATCAGAAACTGGGATGGCTTCTGTAAATCTGGGAATGTCCCTGGAAAATAGGGACATCTGAGGAGTCTGTGTTTAAAGAGGGTTTTGGCAGCCTTTTTAATGACTTGGGGATCTATGGAATGAGCCGGCACTGTTTGTATCCTTTAACTGACAGTTTTGGCCAGGAAGATGTGCAGCAACGTTTGGCTGACTTACTGAACATGCTTCTCTAGAAGCTGCCTTTTAAATCATTCAGCAGAATCACCCAAGGACCTTTGACTTTGATTCATTAACAAGCAAACGCCATATCTCCCTTCACTTTTTAAGTGCTTTGCTAAAAGCCCTTTGTTGCAATCTCTAGAACTTTCCCGGGAAGACACATTAGCAACTTGCTCTCCACCTAAACTGCAATTTGGCTGCTTCACAATATCAGATGCCTATATTTCTGACTTCGTTATTATCCCTCGAGTGCCTGTAGGTATCTCATCACCCAATGAGAGGTCTTCCTGGTGCCAAGGTAGTCCTTTGCTTAAAAGAGTAAGCAATAACAAATGATATACAATGAATTGAAGAAAATGTTTAAAATAACATTTGTTAAACAACCAGAAGCCTTCCTGTTAGGTATTTTAGGTCAAGATCTGCTGAAAGAGAAGAGGACATTATGTATGCTACTACGACAGTGAGAATTCTGATAGCACAAAACTGGAAGACTGGAGAAATTCCAACAAAAGAACAATGGCAAGAGAAATTGATGAATTATTCAGAACTGGCAAAACTGATGGACAGGCTACAAGAAAAGGACACCAGTGACTTTGAAAAAGAGTGGGAACCTTTTATAATATATTTGCAGAAACAAAGAAAGAACATCGACTTGATGGCAGGATTTAAATAAACACTATTGCTGTGAGAGAAGCAAGGAGAAGGGGCTATGGCAGGTTCTGGTGAAATCTCTCTCCCAAGAAGCTCACAGTGTAAAGTCTGAGAGGTGAGGAGAATGAAACAATAGATGGAACGATAAGAGGTTGAGGCAAGGTTGGCAAGGGATGAATATGAGGAACTAATTCTTTTTTTGTTTGGGGCTGAGGATTCAGAGATAAGCCAAAGACTTCATAGGAAAGGTGTGTTCTGAGCAGAGGTTTGAAGGAAGCAACATGGAGACAACATGGGAAGCATGTTGAGGTACAGAAGATAGCAAAGGACCGTAGCTCACTGGTAGAAGAAGATTCCAGATTCAATCCCTGTCATCTCCAGTGCTAAAATGAAACAGGTAAGAGGTGATGTGAAAGAACTTAGGCACCAGCGACCCTGGAGAGCACCAAGTTAGACAGATGTGAGCTGGTGCAAGACAGCCTTCAACGATTCCAAGGGAGAATCGGCCCAGTTGCAAAGCAAAATCAGGACAGCAACGGAACCACATTTTCTCCTTGCACCGCGGAAGGGCCCATGACGGCAACACGAGACTTACTTACGTGAACCAAAGGACGGATCATTTTGCAAGGCCCGCACCATTTTGCTGAAAAGTCGACAACCACCAGTTTGGGTCCTGCATTCTTTAGTAGATCGTTGAATTCTTTCTGTTTGGAAAGCAAGGGCACAGGCAGTCAGCAGATGAGCCAATCACATAGCACAAGAAGGGGGGAACCTCTGGACCAGGGACTGACTGTAACCCTCTAGGGCTCTCTTATCTGGCCCTCAGGACTCTCTCTAGGGCCATACCTCTTCACCAGGTTACCCCTTCCCCCCGACTGGTCCCACTCTACGACCTCCTCAGGTGATTTTAGCCTGGCTGGGATGTGACCTTGAACTGACATCATTCTCCTTACTTGCCGGTGTGGAAAGGGTGTTTTTGTGTGGAAACCTCTGACTTTAAATAACCAGCTGCACATTTTTGTCGGTGGGCCCCCTCTCCACTGGCATTCAATCCCCCCAAATGTTCCTCATGACCTCTTGAACTGAAAATGGTTCCCTTCCCCTAAAATAGCAGGAGTGACAAATACACCCAGATATTTGATCTCCGTGTTTCTTAAGAGGATGATTTTTTATCACCCCCAAACTATGCCTTTTATCACAGATATTTTCTATTGTACAACTTTTTATTTTGTTTACTGTTCTTTGAACCAAGACTATACGATAATCACTTCCCTCTTTGTAAAGACTGAGTCAGCTCTGGATCATAGATAAGGGGCTATTTTGGGTCAGGATTAAATCACACATCGGCAAACTCAGGCTGTGCAACTACAGCTGATTTGGTGCCCTTGTGCAACTGCTTCGCTCAAATGACTTTTTGTGATAAGGAAAGTGAGGGGGAAATGTGCTGAAAAGTGTGGGGTAACTTTGTATAACCACCTCAACAGCAAATCAAAATGAATGCTCAGCAATTAGATGGTGTCATCTAACTTCCTCACAAATATTACGCCAGTGAATCAGAATGAATGCTCAAAAAACAGGTTTGTCCGGTTGTAACCTAGGCCAATACCCATGGTCAAAGAGAAAGAAGAATTAGATGTCAAATTAAAGCACACAGATGAAGAGAACTGTTTTGCCAAGTTGCCCCAATACAGAAGAAAATTCACCCAAAACCAGAGTTGAGTTTTCTGCAAAACTGCTCAGTCATGATTGGACCAAAAGCAAGACCCAATACATTTTAAAATGATAAATTGTGATTCTTTTCTTTTTTTCTTTCTTTTCTTAAAAACTTACTTCTTGCTTATGATGACTTTCTAAGTGACTAAGAATCAGGGCTGCAACCTATAGCCACTTTTCTCGCAGGAAGCTTCACGGAACTCAAGGGGAATTTGCTTTTGAGAAGGACATGGCTATGATTGCCTGTTGAGCTCTAAAGATACAGGCTCAGCTAGGGGTGCCATATTTCAAAAAGTGAAAATTCGGACAGAGTTTTTTTGTTTTTTTTTGCAAAATTGCAAAGAAGACACGGGCTGCCATACGCCTGGATTTTTCCTGACATTTCAGCAATTCTTGCCTGGACACTGCTTGCAGCTGCAGTATTCCGGATATGTCAGGGAAATTCCGGGCGTATGGCAACCCTAGGCTCAGCAGTTTACAAGGCACTGAGCAATCTGACATCATGAGCATCTTTGCAAATGGCTAAAAGGCATAATTCTGTTTCACCCACCACCGTGCCCAGAAAGGGGGTGAGGGTGGGGGAGTGAGAGGGGGAAAAGGCTTATTCATCAATTTCTGAAGATTTGGCCAGCTTTGGCTGAATGTCTTCCAGTTATCTACTTGGCTTTCAATGAGACGTCAAGCTAATTCTATAGTAGCATGAATTCAAACACTTGCCCGATTGCGTATATTCGGTAGCACCGCAGATTCCTCCATTACGTCCTCTTCAAGCTATTTTCTCCCCCACAATTTTTATCATCAGCAAGTGATTCAAAGTCAGATCAGGTTGCCAGGATGCTTTTATGACATAAAGCGTGCCAGCTCAAACCCTCTCAATATTCAGCTATGCAATTACTTCTGATGGCCAAGCAAGATGTTGGCTTTCATGGAGGGGCTCCTAGCTGTCCCTGGGGAGGGTCTGGAACGGGTTGCATTCAGGGCCGGATTTCGGTTTGATGAGGCCCTAAGCTACTGAAGGTAATGGGGCCCTTTACAGTGGTACCTCAGGTTAAGTACTTAATTCATTCCGGAGATCCGTTCTTAACCTGAAACTGTTCTTAATCTAAAGCACCACTAATGGGGCCTCCTGCTGCCACCATGCCGCCAGAGCACGATTTCTGTTCTCATCCTGAAGCAAAGTTCTTAACCTGAGGTAATATTTCTGGGTTAGTGGAGTCTGTAACCTGAAGCCTATGTAACCTGAAGCGTATGTAACCCGAGGTACCACTGTATATGTACAGCTGTCCTTTGTCAACAACAAATTGTTGCTGTTTTTTTGTGTTGAATATATGCTATATGGCTATTTAGGGACCCAATAGGTATCTAAAGCCATTTGCCCATGTTGCCATGCAACTAGTCCATGCAGAATGTAGGCTCCCTATATATAGAAATGAGCAAACCAGTGATATTTTAGGGAGCAGGCTAGCAGGCGGGGCCCATGACTTACACCATAGGAGCCTACACAACACAAAACACTGCTGCTGTATGTAGGTGTTATTTTTTTGTTTTTTATCTTATATATTAGAAATGTACATCCAGGTATTTTTTCTTTAATTTTTTCCGGGGGTGGGGCAAGAGAGTGGGGCCCTAAGCTATAGCTTGTTTAGCTTATACGTAAATCTGGCACTGGTTGCATTCACTCTGGGTTTAAAAGCCCTGTTGAATTGAACACATTTTGTGGGGAGAGATTTGCTGAGGTTTAGGTTGTTGAGGCCTTGTTCTTAATCCTTACGGATTCTTGACTCCATCAACAGTTACGGCTCTATAGGAAACGAGGTCCAAATGTTATACTTGCCTCATGACGTACAGAGTTTCCACGTGGTGTTTGCTAGGTTGCAGTGTCTATCACGTGCAGGTGGCTTGCTGAGGCTCCGATTTTCCGTTTCAGAAATTCCCTCATAACTTGGCACTTTTTCCTGTTTGTGTGAAATTAGGCAGACGAACCTTAATACAAGTAGAGAGTAGATAAAAATACACCCACTAAAGAGGAATGGGTAGTCAAATTGTGCGAGTACTTGGAGCTCGCAAAGCTGACAGATGCAATAAGAGATAAACCTAAAAAACTGGTGAAAGAAGAATGGGAATGTTTAAATAATTATTTAGGGGACAAGGGCTCAACAAGAAAGATCTGGCTATGTTTAGAATGATACCACATAGAGAAATGTTCCCTGATACCAAGATGAGGGATTCCTTTGGAATGCAGATAGAGATAATTGATAAGAATAATTATCTGTTGTGAGCTTGAAGGAAGTGTACAATAGATGAGCTTTACTGCTTTGGCCCATCTTCCTTTTTCTTTTTCTCTCCCCCCCCCCCCTATTTTTCTTTTTTCTTTTCTTTTATATTTCCCATAGTTGCTTATGTTCTGTGTCATGTACTTCGATATTTTTTGTAGTTTTTTGTAGTTTTTTTCATTATTATTAAGGAATTTTCCTTTGTAATTTTGGTTGTCTATATTTATATGTACCTGTTTAAAGCAAAATAAAAGTTAAAAAAACAAGTAGAGAGCCTCTTCCTTCGCCCAATTTCAAGTAATTCCCCTTCCCAACTATCGGGGCAGACTTTGGTACTCTTTCATAATATGTTATTTATTTATTTGTTTGTTTGTTTATACTTTTCAAATTTATATATTTCATTCGTTTTACAATCCATTTATCATTTCAAAATTTGACTTTCTTCCCCCTCTTTCTGCGGTTCCTTAAATTTATTTTTTAATATCTTCTGGACATCCAATTCACTTAACTTGCTCATTTAGTTATCTACTATAAATATATACTCTTATAAAACTGCAGGTTATTACAATAATCCTGCTAATGTTTTTATCTGTTTGCAGTTTATCTCTAAACATTCAATAAACCATTTCCATTCTTTTGTTAAAAGTTTGTTATCTTGATTTCTTATTCTTCCGGTAAGTTTCGCCATTTCTGCATAGTCCATAAATTTTTGTATCCATTCTTCCTTTACTGGGACTTCTTCTTCTATCCATTGTGGGGCAAGTAACATTCTTGCTGCAGTAGTAGCATACATAAATAAATTTCTATATAATTTATATATAATTCCCAAAAGAAAACCTTCTGGTTGTTGTTGGGTTTTCTTTGGTTTTTTGGTAAAAGTTATTTTGAATATCCTTTTCAATTCATTATATATCATTTCCCAGCAAGCTTTAGTCTTACTACAAGACCACCACAAATGATAAAAAGAACCTTCTTTCTCTTTACATTTGCAACATTTGTTTGATTTAGATTTACCGTATTTTTTGCTCTATATGACTCACTTTTTCCCTCCTAAAAAGTAAGGGGCAATGTGTGTGCGTCTTATGGAGCGAATACAGGCTGCGCAGCTATCCCAGAAGCCAGAACAGAAGGGGGGTTGCTGCTTTCACTGCACAGCGATCCCTCTTGCTGTTCTGGCTTCTGAGATTCAGAATATTTTTTTTTCTTGCTTTCCTCCTCCAAAAACTAGGTGCGTCTTGTGGTCTGGTGCGTCTTATAGAGCGAAAACATTTCTGCCAGTTTACTTGGTGTTACTCTTTCATAATATGGCAGCCTTTGCACAGCCAAAATTTGGCACCCTGAAACAGATCTTCTCAGTCACAACAATTACAGTATAGTGGCAATCTAACCAAGAATTGGCTGGGTACCTATTCTACATACAGTCTAATGAGCATTATAGTTCATTATAGTTCAGGCCCTCTTCAAATGGTAAACTGGCCTTTGCTGTTGGGATCTGCCATTCTAAAAGGTCCAATATAAATCCTTTGATATTTGCAACTGCAGGTTTCAAGGTACCTGACTTGTTTTATTTATGCAACGTGTTTATTATGTGGGGAAATGGTGATGCCCCACCTCTTGAGGTTAAACATTCAGACATTAAATCACAGAGCACACGGCAAAAGATCTGAAAGAAGGTGCTTTGAAAGTGGAAGCCACTCAGAAGACAACTGCAACCCCCCAACTTTCCCATCCCTACAGCAAATCAAGGCCTTGTAATTGGAAATAAATAAAGGTTTTGTAACTTTAATGAAGGATGGGCTGAACCTTCAAAAGCAAGTTAGTTTTCTAGGTGTGAGGAATCTGGCTAGAATTATAATAATTATTATGATGTGCTCCAATCCCTTATATTTAGGAGTGTCATGAAAGAGGCCATCTAGTTTCTACAATGGTAAGGAAGCTTGAGGGAATTGGGTTTAGAAACGAATGAATAGGACCCTCAATGGGATAGATCAGTGCTGAGCTCTAAAGAGAAGCATCTCGGTGGAGCACTTTAAGTTGTCAGCTCTGCAGTGTGTATCATCAGTTCAGGTGCTGGTAAACAGAGGTGATGTAAGGTTGGAGAATCCATTAAGTTTTAATGGAAGCATTATAGGAAGCAGAAAGGAGACGGACAGCTTCCATTTCCTTTCCTTTCTTGGAACTCTCGTTCACCTCAGAACGGCTCTTAAACCTGAGTCATAGCTGTGTGGGAATGGTCTCTGCATGGCTGCTTCTCCCATAACACCCCAGTAATATACCTTCTATTAGGGGAAATGGCTTGCAAAATATGCACATATTAATAAAATAAATGTATCAGGAGAAATTCACACTAAAATGCTGTGGGATTTTCGTGAGGATTATTATTATTTTTTTAACATCCGCAGTGCTGCAGAAATGTGGAGAATTGAATTTAAGATTAGAAAAACAAGGGACTGAGAGAAATAAAAACCGGCCTATTTGTCCTTTCCTAGCAACATGATAATGACCTCCTGTGGACAGATGTTTCACAGCTGGCGCCCTGCATAACCACAACCTGCCTGAGACTCTGCCTTTTGCCTGACCTGGGTACCAGAATTTTGAAATAAAAAGTCCATCCTGTCAACCGTCCTGGGGAAAAAACGAGGCAGTTTTTTCTCGCGAGAGGACAGCTGCCAAAATGGCCGCCACAATTTTGCACGATTTCGGGCTGTGCTTTTTTTGAGCGTGGCGTTCAAAAACACACATTTTGAGGTACGAAAGTCAGGAACTCTTGTTGAGCCACAGAGGGCTGTAAAGGTACCAGCAATTCTGAGAAAACCCAAAAGAATTAAAAAAAGAAAATGTGTGAGAGTCTCCTGGAGTGAAGGATGACACCTCCTTATGCCATCCTCCTATCCAATATTAAAAGGATTTGTTAGTTAGCCAACACTTCATAGTGCAAATGTAAAGAGGCTTGATTTATTGATATAGGACCATCTCTGTGCATGGCACTTAAATTCTTAAGAAACAGCAGATGAAGAAGGGAGAGCAATGGAAGGGAAGATGCTTATACTGTTGGCTTCTAATTCCCTCTGATTTCACAATAGGAGAAAGTTAAGCATTGACGTCAATGGGACTCAGTACTGGCCACTTTGTTAAAATCCTGTTTTTCTCACAATGTAACTTGCAGTAAACAACTCACCATAAGTCAAACAGGTCTTACTGCTTAAATGCATTGGAACTTTTAATATTATTCTGCTGATAGTGATCTGCTCAGCACATTTCTTCTTTTAGCGGTGAGTGTCAACCATTTCCTGCTGTTTGAAATGTCTCCGGGAGTTTAAAATTAATGTGAGAACTTTCCCCCAGGGCTGTGTAAATGCTACCATTTTGCAGGAGTGCAAAATGTGGTCCTGGATGGAGATTTTGGCTTCCTTGGAATTTCAGCTTTCATTTCTTTTTAGAAAGGCAAGATCTAGACCTTTTGCTGTGAAGATATATAACGTATTTTTCGCTCCATAGGGTGCACCGGACCATAGGGCGCACCTAGTTTTTTTTTTTGGGGGGGGGAATAAAGAAAAAAATTTTATTCGGAGCACTCCGAAGGCTTGCAGATAGCTGCCTGAAGCCTGGAGAGCAAGAGGGGTTGGTGCGCACCGACCCCTCTCACTCTCCAGGCTTCAGCGAAAGCCTGCATTCGCTCCATAGGATGCACACACATTTCCCCTTCATTTTTGGAGGGGAAAAAGTGCGTCCTATAAAGCGAAAAATAAGGTACTTGAAGGTGTGGATGTGTTACATACTGTAATCAGAGCCGTCTTTCCTATTGGGCTTACAGGCACCTTGCGCCAGCGCGCTGGCCTCTCAGGGGCACCTCAACGAGTGGGGGAGCTGCGTGGCTTTGCCGGCGGCCTCCCCTTTCCCTGCACGCCCACCAGCTGTGCCCCGCCAACTATACGGCTGGTGGGCGTGCAGTTTCGTTCCCAAGCCCCTGCGGGAGGAGAGCGATCCCCAAGGTTGACAACTCTGGGGAAGGGGGGTGGCACCAGAGGGATCCTTGCACCACGGTGCCAGAGATGCTTAAGACGGCCCTGACTGTAATCTCAGAAACCAGAGATATAGCCAAGTAACATTTCCAGGGGTTGTGAATCTGGCATGCTTCCTGCCATAGCTAGTATAACCAGCATAAATTATGCACATCAACAGTTTGTTGTTTTTTATAGCAGAACAATTTAACCTAACATGGAATCATGCAAATTTGCTTCAAATGTAAAGCACGTACGTAGCCTTAAAAATGAGAGTGATGCAGAGCTCTTTGTGTTGTCAGGCTGTAATTATTATGTCTGTCTTATTTCGGAATATTGTCACTATCACTAATGCAACAGAGCCTTAAGGAAGGAATAAATTAAGGGAGTGTTGTAGCCTGTCCTGTGAGACATGGGAGTGAGCCAGCCAAACCCCTCCTGTCATCTTCACTGTTGCCACCAAGTAGATGTCTTTATTTCCTATGCCTCCATTGAAACAGTGCCGAAACCTCCATATTTTTGTCCTTTCCTAAGGGCTTCCATCCTGATGCCCAACATGGCTGTTTGGTCCGAGCAGCTCGCCACAAGAGATGCCGTAACCCAGATGGAATTCCTATTGAGCAACCAAACAGCGCAAGAGCCTAGTGCTCAATGTTTGCTGTGGATGAGCAACAAGCGGGAGGTGCTGTCATCATCATCATCATCATCATCATCCTTTTTATTCGACCGTCAGTCAGAAAAAAGTACATTTTATCAATACACAGTTAAAAACATCCAGGAAGATTTTAAAACTTAGCCAACACTAAAATGGGCTAAACAGATAGCCCCATATCAATACAGTCAATTATAGTCTTGCGACGCTTAAAAGCTATAAAGAGAAATTTGGCCACCAAGGAAGGTATAGCTCTAGTGGCGTTATTCAGCAAGTGTAAAACCTGGTTTTCTCCGGGTAGGAAGCTGAATTGACATAGGAGTGGGTCTATAAAATTTTGTCTAAGCTCTGCATAAGAAGGGCAAGTCAAGAGAATATGTTCAGTGGACTCAACCACACCCATGGCACAATGACAGGTTCTCTGGGCGTATGGTACCCCCCTGTACCTTCCCCACAATATCGCAGAGTCAAGGACATTTAATCTAGCCGCTGTAAGAAGTCTACGGTATTCCACATAATGGATTTCTGCAAGGTAGGGGGCTGGTATGGTCCGATAAATCTGGTCCCCTAGGAACGTCCCTGGTTTTACCTGGGCTATGTCCTCTTGTCTGGCAATGCGGGAGCGGCTGTGGTCTTAACCACTGAGCTTCTTGGGCTTGCCGATCGGAAGGTCGGTGGTTTGAATCCCCGCGACAGGGTGAGCTCCCGTTGCTCTGTCCCAGCTCCTGCCAACCTAGCAATTCGACAGCACGCCGGTGCAAGTAGATACAGTGGTACCTCGGGTTACATACGCTTCAGGTTATATACGCTTCAGGTTACAGGCTCCGCTAACCCAGAACTAGTGCTTCAGGTTAAGAACTTTGCTTCAGGATGAGAACAGAAATCGTGCTCTGGCGGCGCGGCAGCAGCAGGAGGCCCCATTAGCTAAAGTGGTGCTTCAGGTTAAGAACAGTTTCAGGTTAAGTATGGACCTCCGGAATGAATTAAGTACTTAACCTGAGGTACCACTGTAAATGGGTACTGCTGTGGCGGGAAGGTAAACAGTGTTTCCATGCGCTCTGGTTTCCATCATGGTGTCTCATTGCGCTAGAAGCGGTTTAGTCATGCTGGCCACACGAGCCAGAAAGCTGTCTGTGGACAAATGCTGGCTCTCTTGGCCTGAAAGCGAGATGAGCACTGCAACCCCATAGTCACCTTTGACTGGACTTAACCATCCAGGGGTCCTTTACCTTTACCTTTTACCTCTCAGAGTTGCCATTTATGCCCATATGAGTCACAGCAGGCTTCCTTTAATGTCTGATGTGACAATCGAGGCTCTTCCTGCGAAGGCTCCAGAGCAGGAACAGGGCTGGAATGTGGGCAGAAATAACATTCTACCCGGAATGTAGAATCAAGTGGAAGAATTCTAGATGGTCCCATGTCAGAATGCAGGTGTGAAAATGTCTCAGTGAATTCCTAAGATGACGTTTGGGCTCTGTTTGGCCTGTCTGGATATCGACTGACTCCACATCCTTCTGAAAACCTGAGCCATGCGTTGCAGAAATGTTCTGATGTGCCTTGGCTTAAATGCAACAACCCCTTCCCCCTTTTAAGTGTTTTGGATAATTAAAGGTTAAATAGACTTTTTTGGGATGTGTGTGTGTGTAAAATCTTGTCCAATAGTAGGGCCAACCCTGTGTGGATAAGGGCATCCCAGAGTACAGTCTGAAGTCACCAGTAGCCTTGCTGAAGCTAAGTAGTTCTGAACCTGGTCAAGGACTAGAAAGGCACAAACCTGATACTCCAATACCAGTCCATGTTTTTTCTTCCCAGAGATACATGGGAGGGACATTTTTGCCATGACTATACTTTTGGGTTAGGATTGGCTGCATGGTGCAGAGAGCTAATTGACCAAAGAACAGGGCTTGGAAATAAATGCTTCTACTGCATTGCTTCTCTGGGTGGCAAGCAAGCCCCAATAAGAAGTAATGACCCTCCGGCAATGTTATGTATGTTTATTTACAAAAAGACACACCCAGAGCCCGGCTTCTCGCCTGCTCACATTTGTTTGTTGGTCAGTCTGAAGTTTCACCCCTCCCACAGCAGGAAGGACGCCAGACTCCCGCCTTTCCCCTCTTGCTCTTCCATTGCCTTCTGATTTTATCCAAGCCTAGAACGGGGACTGAGAGGCTGACCTCCCCCCTTCCTCCTCCTCCCCACTCTCACTCAACACAGACACAGACCTCTGCTTATTTGCTGATTGCCTAGCAATGCTCTGGCTGCCTTCCAACTCTTCCTCTTCTAGAGAGCTAATAGAGTCTTCCCCGGGAAGGGGGGTAGGGCTGCTCTCTCTGTCAGCCAGTTCTCATCTGCAGAGTCGGTCCCTCATTCACTTAGCTCAATTTCTGAGTCTAACTCATCCCCTGCACTCTGGGGGGCCACGTTCCTGACACCTATCTGTACTATATACTATATACTCTCTCTCTCTCTCTCTCTCTCTCTCTCTCTCTCTCTCTCTCTATATATATATATATATACTTGCTTATTGAGAATACTGTGCCCCAGCAGCCCTAATAGGAGAGCCTGCACTGGTTACAATATTTAACTATTTTTTTTATGAAAGTGATTTAACTCAGTTTAATTAAGTTGAGGCTCCAATAAACACCCCAGTTTCACAAAATTGTATCAATGCAATGGATTAAGCCATGGTAAAATGGAGCTAAAATCATTATAACTGAACAAATCGAACATATTTCATACATTTAACGATGGCTTCCGTATTTGTTTAGTACTTTAAATAAGAAATCAAAATAGCCCTCATGGAATCGATTGAACTATTTTATTTATGGTTCATAACCGTTCTGTTAATTGCATATGGGCAAACTGGATTTTTTGGGAAAGTGAAATAAACCTGCAAAAGATTTTAAGCTACACTCCGTTGGCAGCAGTCAATCTTGCACATGTACCCCTCAACCTTGAGCCCAGTTCTGGGTCACAACTTCTGACTCTCCTGCTTGCTGCCTTCAAGTGCCTAGGTGGGTTCTTTCCTGCTGCAGATATTGAGGTCAGATTAAGTTGCCAGTCTGTGCATGCAATGAGAGAGTGCATATCTTCCATTTTGCCATTTGCCTCCAGCAGAAAAATGCCCCGGGACTGACTCTGCAAACCGTTCTGGACAGTTCCCACCAAAAAAGGGCACAGAAGGAAGAGCTCACTCCTGTGCCTTGAGCTGCAGGTGAGCTTAAATAACCCCCCTGGAAAGGAGGGCAGGTGCCTGTCGCTTTCCTAACGGCATAGAAGTGGAATGATTGGTGAGGTTTCTTATTGTGCAAGAATGAGAAAAGCTTCATCTGCAGAAATTCCCTGTTCGGCAACACCCAGGACAGGTAAAGAAGGAATGCTAACTGACTGGATACCATTGCTTTAATGACTCATTTTTTAAAAAAGTTCTATGTTTAGTTAAGGGGTAGTAAAAGTTTCACAGTTGTTGTTTTTTTGTTTTGGCTTTGCTGTGTGTTGGCATTCGCCTGGCGCCTTCATTTTAGCCTCCAGGCAAAAACGTTCCTTTTTAACCAGGCCTTTGATTGATCTGGTTAATCCGATGCTCTTTTAAAATGTGGGTTTTTGGGTGGGGGGTGTTATGTACTGAGGTTCTCACCTGGGCCAGCAGGGGGATACTGTAGATAGTTATGCAAATGAAGGATCGAAAGTGACGTTCAGTGATTGGATAGTTTGTATGCAAATGAAGGATCGAAAGTGACGTTCAGTGATTGGATAGTTTTAGAAAGCTGCAACAGTTACAATTGTTCTGGAGCTCTATATACGCAGGCTGACTGAGCTCCTCAGTTCAGTTCTGTTCCAGCTTACAAATAAAGAGCTGCTTTGGAGAAATTGCTGTGTCGTCTGCTATGTCAACCCACAACTTAACACTGGCGACGAAGGTGGGATCGATGGACATCAGAGCACAGCCAGATGCGGCCATCCTTTGAACTGAGCTGAATCACTGAGCTGAATCACTGAGCGAAGTCACTGAGTGAAATCACTGGACAGAACCAATTCAGAGCTGCCTGTTCTGGGTAGAGCACTGTGTTCCATCCATCGCCCTTCACGCCGGCATCAGAATCATGGCTTCACTTGTGCCTCTACCGCCGTTTGCGCCAGCCTCTGAATCATGGGACTCCTACCTCGCTCTGTTCGACTGCTACCTCCAAGCCAACGAGCTGACAGCATTATCAAAGGAACGGAAGCGGGGCCTATTCCTCAGCCTCTGTGGGCCTGAGGTGTTTGAGACGGCCCTAGCATTGGTTGCACCTGAAGCAGTCCAGGCAACACCATGGGACACGATCCAAGAGAAGCTCCGCAACCACTACACGCCAAAGCCGTCCAAGATTGCTGCCCGCCATGCGTTTTACCACCGGAACCAGGCAGAGGAGGAGTCAATCAACAACTACACCACTGCCCTGCGACAGGCTGCAATGCACTGCGAGTTCTGAGACTTAGACGATGCCCTGATGGATCAAATCGTCTGCGGGGTCCGGGACATCCATCTGCAACGGCGTCTCCTCGCCAAGCCAGACCTCACGCTGCAGAAAGCCATTGAGGAGGCCGTGGCCTCGGAAGCTGCTGAACGCTCCGCCCAGGAGATCCGCAAGGCCAGCAGCCCGCGTCTTGCTAGGAAGCCAGTTCCAGTGCATCACAAAGAGGCCAGCAGTGATGAGGCATCCTCCAGTGAAGACGATGACGTGCACCAGACAAAGCGGGAGCGCAGGAAGTTCCAGCAGAAGTCCAAGGGCCAACCGGAATGTGCCGGCTGCGGAGGCAACCATTCCCGTGCCAAGTGTCGATTCAGAGATGCCATCTGTATGAAGTGTTCCAGAAGGGGCCACATCGCTAAGGTCTGCCGATCGGCTCCGTCTGACACCCCCCCTTCACCGACTTGCAAGTCCAAGTCTTCACTCCAGTCTGCCAAGGAAAGCTGTTTCACTCTCACCAACTGCCGCTGCACGTCTGGAACCACGATTGGCCAAACCGACTCGCCTACGCGACGCAAGCTGAACGTCACGGTGCTCATTGAAGGAGCTCCATGTGACATGGAGATCGACACCGGGTCTGTCCTGTCCATCATGTCTTGGAGCACCATCAAAAGACTGGTACCCAGAGTGTCCAAAAGGCAACTCGACTCTCACCGCGTACACCTGAAAGACTACCAGGGAAATGACATTCCCGTTGTAGGTGTTGGCCGGTTCCGGATCGCCTTCTTTTCGGGCCTGCTCCGACTGGTGGTGGTCGAAGGTCAGCGGCCAAGGGCTAGACTGGTTTGATGCCCTCGGCCTGGAAGTCACCGGCATCAACTGCATCTCTAACGCAGAGACTGAGGGTCTGGTCAAAGACTTTGCCGAGGTTTTTGACAGCACTTTGGGGCAGTATACAGGTACGCCCATCTCCTTTAGCCTTGATCCACAAGTCATCAAGCTAAAGCCACACCGGGTTCCCTTTGCTCTCAAAGCTAAGGTGGACGAACAACTGGACAAGCTGATCGCCCAAGGAGTTTGGGAGCCGGTTGACCACGCCAAGTGGGAAACCCCCATCGTCACACCTGTCAAGCCAGTCGGGTCGGTGAGAATCTGCGCCGACTACAAGTGCACGATCAACAAGGCACTTCAGCAGCACACTTACCCGGTTCCTGTTGTTCAACACCTGCTGCATTCCTTGGGTGAGGGTAAGGTCTTTGCTAAGCTGGACCTTGCCCAAGCCTATCAACAATTGCCCATCGATGATACCACTGCTGAAGCCCAGATGATCGTCACCCACCAAGGGGCATTCCGTTGCCGCCGTTTGCAGTTCGGGGTGAGTGTGGCTCCTGGCATCTTCCAAAGCCTTATGGAGCGTCTCCTGCAAGGGCTTCCGGGCGTGGTACCGTATTTTGATGATGTCTTGGTGTCCGCAGACTCACACCAGCAGCTGTTCGAGCGCCTCCGTGCCATGCTGACCAGGTTCCAGGAGGCCGGGCTCAAGGTAAAGAGGGAGAAGTGCCAGATCGCCGTTCCACAGGTGGAGTTCCTGGGCTATCTTATCGACGCCTCCGGCCTTCACCCGACCACATCCAAGATCCGCGCTATCCAGCAGGCCCCCATCCCAAAGAACAAGATGGAGTTGCAGGCGTTCCTGGGACTGCTGAACTTTTATAACATGTTCCTACCCCACAAAGCCACGGTGGCTGAGCCTCTTCACCGACTCCTCAGCACAAAGACGCCTTGGTCTTGGGGTCATCGGGAGACGGCCGCCTTCAACGCGGTCAAGGCTCTCCTTTCATCAGACAGTGTGCTTGTACAGTACAGTGAAGCCAGGCCGCTGGTCCTTGCCTGCAACGCCTCACCTTTTGGCATCGGCGCTGTCCTTAGTCACCGTTTTCCAGATGGAAGAGAAGCACCGCTCGCCTACTTTTCCAGGACGCTATCTCCAACGAAACAGAATTACAGCCAGCTCGACAAGGAGGCACTGGCACTTGTGGCTGGAGTGAAGAGGTTCCATGAATACCTCTACGGCAGGACTTTCAACCTCATCACCGACCACAAGCTGCTCCTGGGCCTCCTCGCCGGTGATCGACCAACTCCACCGGTCCTCTCGCCGCGCATGCTGCAATGGACTGTTTTGCTGGCTGCCTACCACTACCGGCTCGTCCATCGCCCGGGGAAATTGATGGGCCATGCTGACACCCTCAGCCGTTGCCCTCTTCCAGCGTTTGTGGAAGACCCGGCTCCTGCTTCAACGCTCCTCCTGATTGAGGATCTTCCGGCAGCGCCTGTATCGGCTGCCACTGTGGCGTCCGCATCTGCCCAGGATCGCACCATCAGCTGTGTGCTCAACTGGGTGTGGAGGGGGTGGCCACAAGGGCCTTTTGCATCGGAGTTCCAGCCCTTCGCAACCAGACAACATGAACTCTCGGCTCATCGCGGCTGTCTGCTGTGGGGAGATCGTGTTGTGATTCCCCAAAGACTCCGCCAACGTGTCCTGTAGGCTCTGCACGTTGGCCACCCGGGAATCGTCAAAATGAAGGCGTTGGCTCGGTGTTACGTCTGGTGGCTTAACATGGACGATGCCATCACTGCCTGGGTGTCCGCCTGTCAAGCGTGCCAAGAATCGAGGCCTGCACCACCGGCAGCTAAGGGACACACCTGGGAGACGCCCAAGACACCCTGGTCGAGGGTGCACATCGATCTGGCCGGCCCCTTTTACGGCCGGACCTTTATGGTAGTGGTGGACGCCCAGGGGTCAGCAAACTTTTTCAGCTGGTGGCCAGTCCACTGTCCCTCAGACCTTGTGGGGGCCCGGACTATATTTTTTGGGGAAAAAGGAACGAATTTCTATGCCCCACAAATAACCCAGAGATGCATTTTAAATAGAAGGACACGTTCTACTCATGTAAAAACATGCTGATACCCAGACCGTCCATGGTCTGGATTTAGAAGGCGATTGGGCCGGATCCGGCCCCTGGGCTTCAGGTTGCCTACCCATGAATTAGTATTAGTATTCAGTATTCCATTATTACATCCATCAAAGCTTATTTACACTGTTGGATTTATCTTAAACGTATGTTCTTCTTGTTCCCTTATTCTGTGTGTTAGGTCTGCAAGCTGCATATATTCTATCAGTTTAAGTTGCCATTCTTCTTTAGTTGGGACCTCGTTTGTTTTCCGTTTTTGAGCTAACAAAACACGGGCCACGGTAGTGACATACATAAATAACAGTGCTGCTCTTGACGCTTTCACAAATGCTCTCTCTTGGGACTGCTGTCATTTTGCAGCCTGATTCACAGCCCAGGACTAAGCATTTGCCTAAGATCAACAACTGCCTTCTCGGGCTGCAATTCTATGCTAGGGGTGGGATGCTCAGGAAGGTGGCAAACCTGTGTCAGGGTTATACCACTTCAGACTCAAACGATTCAATGTGCCTCCATTAAAATAAGACAAAGTAAAACCATCTCTAGATAGACTATTAAGGAGAATAAATGCAGCGTGTAAGTTTCAAGGTGGAAAGTGTGTTCTGGTTTTTTTTGGTATTCACCTTTGTGAGCCCCCACCTGCAGTCTGAGGTAGTGTCACCTGCCACAGGTATACCATCTCAGGGAGGGCCAGTCCTCTGCTGCAGTTGCCACAAGGGAAGAGTGACAGCTTTGCCTGGTGTTGGATTCCCTGGTAATTTGAGTCTGCGAATGCGGGAATTTCATACCTCCCAGTAACAGCACACTTCTCAGCTATCAGAGTAAAATCTGCCGGTTGATGTAAGAGACTGTAGCACGGCAGATTAAAAAGCTTAAGAAAAAACCAAAAACCTAAAACAGCAACATGTCCAATTTTCATACATTGGTTTATTGGTGCAAGAGAACTTTACTTCCAGAGCGCTTAGCTCAAGTCAGAGAAGGCTTCCTTTGTGCAGACACTGACCTGCTTTGTGCTGTGTTGATAAGCTTACATTCTGTTGGAAAGTGGTTTCAGAATAAGGGTCAGACCCTTTGAAAAGCCATGGCGTTGGGATTCCACCACGAACAACTCTGGAGTTGCTGTGTGTCTTTCCCCTCCTCTTTTTGCTAAAACCTGGCAGTTTCGTCTCAGTTGCTGAGATGCGCGAGCCTGTGGGTGAGCCAAGTGGAGTGACTTTTTTCCTGCCTTGGGCTGAGCAAAGTGAAAATGAGTGTGCACATCAGTGTGCTAATATCAATGCCTGCATGGGCGTACCCAAGGGCGGTCAGGGGGGCAGCCCCCCCAGATCAAGTAAAATGGGGACTGAGAATATAATCCTATGGACAACAACAACAACGTATCCCACTCTGGGCAGCTCCCAACAGAATATTAAAAACACGATCAAACATCAAACATTAAAAACTTCCCTAAACAGGGCTGCCTTCAGATGCCTTCTAAAAGTCAGATAGTTGTTTATTTCCTTGACGTCTGATGGGAGGGCGTTCCACAGGGCAGGCGCCACCACCAAGAAGGCCCTCTGCCTGGTTCCCTGTAACCTCACTTCTCACAGGGAGGGAACCGCCAGAAGGCCCTCAGAGCTAGACCTCAGTGTCTGGGCTGAACGATGGGGGTGGAGACACTCCTTCAGGTATATCACACTGGGCCTTACTGCTAACTGAATTTGCATAGGATTGTGCTGTAAATGGTACCATACAACCATTTTCCTCCCTGCCCTATTGCAATGCCCGAAGTTCCTTTCTCTTCTGCAGGTTTCCAGGCCTACATTTATGGCATCTGCCTTCCCAAAGCAGTCATCATTGAGGCTGCCCCATTTTGTTCTCTCTCCACGCTGGGGTCTGGGTAAAATGAAAGAGGTGTTCTTCCTAGCTCATTTGTGGACATTTGTTGTTGAGCTGGCCTTCTCCATTCCTCCCTACATTCCGCCAAAGAGAATTGTAACCCACCCCATGAGTTTGTATCAGGCTCAGCGACACTCTTTAAAGATCTCATTAAGGTTCTGGCAACATCTGAAAGAGAAGCATCACTAGGTGTGGCCACCAGCCTTTCTATGCCCTGAAAAGGCTATAGGCATGTGTTATGGAGAATAAACATTACATGCTGTTTAATGATTCCTGCAATTAACTGCTGGGGTGGCTCAGAGCTTGAATTCCCTCTGATGGCATTAATCCTCTTAAACCAGTTCTGATGAGCAAAGACCTTGAGGCGGCGTTGTGGATTTGGGCAAGCATTTTCTTCCACCTGCAGAGCATCATGAGTTTCTGTGTCACGCTGTTGGTGTCGGTATGGAGGCTGAAGTACTGAAACCAGACTGCAGATCAACCACAAGCCGGCGTAGCTGTGTTGGAAAACAGCAAGCTGTTCAGCCAAACCCACAACATACAATGCTGTAATTATTTCATCCCTTCTCACTGCCAGGCCCTAACATGTGGCCATGAGTCACTTTTCGTATACGCTCATCAAGGTTTCCATGTGACTGATATTATGTGTGCATTCAATAGGTCTAGGGAGTGCAAATGTTTTAGGGAAAGCGTGTTCTCCTTCATGGAGAGCACGTGTTGCGGTGGGGGCCGCCAGGACACTCCAAAGTTGGGGGCGGGCTAATTGATCGTTGGCCACTGATGCGATTGCGGCTTCCCTTGTTGTGGGGAAGAAGTTAATGTTGCCATTTGTTGATTGACAGCCAGAAATGCTAAAACTCCTTGCACGAGGCTAGGGCTTCCTCTTTTCGACCGTGCATCGGATTGCCCGTCCCCCCCTCCCTAGAATTAGGGTTGTTCGCTTTGACCTTGCTATGCCTGTCATGGGGTCATCAGCTCTTGGGGCAGGGGCCCTGTAGGAAT